TGTGAAAAAATGACAGTAACTTTTGCAAATGATTTTTTAGGGAAAAGCGGAGGTCAAATTCGGATTCAGCGCATCAAAATCATGAGGAAAACATATCTTAAATGTATTTATACTCAAACGGAGAGCCGCTATGATTTTTGATCACTGAAAAGTGAATTGGGACCATAGTGCGCCTGCCGACGCGCGACCTCCAACAATTCGTGAAATATAGGATTATCAAAACTTCATTATCGCACGACTTGAAGGACGCGCATAACAATTTATGATTAAGACTCGAGCAACTTCGAGACTCGAGAATAGGACGAGAGACCACCTAGGTTTGCATTTCATGGCGAGGATGAGGTGCGGATATAGACTGACTTGCAGAGTGGAGTTGGGAGAACGGAGGACAAGGACTGAGAGAGAATAAAGAACGTCGAGCGAGACGAGGCAGAAGGGCTATGATGCTTTTTTATGATAAAGCGCCTGATAAATGTCACTTTTATCAACGGGAGTCGGGAGTGTCTCCACTCAAATTGCTCCTCAAGACAAGGTTCTCTGGTTAAAAGTCATCCTGCCTAGCGCCAAGGCTAGACTGCGGTCAACTTTAAGTGCACACATAACCGGAAGAAACAAAATATCCAGCTATGCAGCTGTTATTCTTTATAAAAAAATTAAAGGCGAAATAAAGACGGAGAAGAAAATCGAGAATACTAAATACCAAACAGTAAATTGCCTGAAGAAAGAGGGGGAAAAAATGGTATGAAATGGGTCTTGAGAAGGTGTACATGTACAACTTATCAAATTCTGAAAGTTTCTTTATTTTCACTTAATGGACCACTAGACAAGGTACGAGTTAAAGGATTCTCATACATGTTTCTTGACCAGAATTTCACGTAAAGCACGATTCTTGCACCGAAAATTACTGAAATCAACTCTTAACGAAGATATTAACGTTTTCATTTCACATTGATTACGAGGAATTTGAACTGCCCGCTCACAAGAAACTCGAAGCTCTACGTGAGTCAAATCGCGCACGACAACGGTTTCAGCAATCTTCTCAATCGAACAATGTTCATTTCCCACCATGCGTTGTTCAAACTATAAGCAATTTGCTCTAGCTGATTGTGAGTCAAAGCGTCAAGATTGAGGTTGCCAGCTTTTTATACCGTAGAGACTGTCATGATAACGTTTCGCGCGCGATGTGAATCACGTAGAGCGTTGAGTTTTTCATGAGCGGGTGGTTTGAATTTACGCATCAAGAATCATTAAATATCTTCGTAACTAGTTGATATCGGTAATTTTCGTTGTACGCATCGTGTTTTGCGTGAAATTTTGGTCAAGAAACATGTTTCAGAATGCTGAAATTCGTACCTTGTATAGTGGTCCATTCTCTCTAAAAGCGAGCACATGAATACAGGCCCCGAGCTGATAGATGAAAATTGACTGATAGCTGATAACTCTAGCGTGAATCAGAAACGCCGGACGGCTGGAAAATGCCCCTTCGTCACTCCGAAAGAGGCTAATTTCAGGTATTTTTCAGGACATCCTGAAGGAGCCAAACAAATTCCTTTTTCAAAACTTCCGAAGAGCAATTCGGGTGATTTCTGCAAGCTCACTTGCTACCTCACAGAGACAAAACTAGGGTGTAAGCCTTTTAAGACTTTTATTAGTTCATCTATCCACTTCAAGGCGGTTATCTAGGTTCCACGCGTTCATGCGGCTATATTTTTGCCACAAAACTGTCCACGCTGATCGACCAAATATTGATCTTATAATAGAGGCAATGCTTATTTTTCAATATTCATTCATGTACTAGAAAAGGGGCAGCATCTGTACTTTCGAAAATACATTTTGACTTCTTTGTTAAACAATATGAATGAGCGGGGAGCCATTTTTGAGAGGTACCTAAATCATTGAGAGCTTCAGTGAGCAAGTACGAGTAATGGAAAATTTGCACGTGCATTTTTTATTGCTCCGTCTGAGAGTGCTTACACAGCTAATTATGCAGTAATTAGTATTATTTTTTCTGAAATGGGAGATAGCATGAAAATAAGGTTTAAAAAAGAGAACATGCACTGCCTGATGACGTCACCTGGCAGAATTTCTTATACGTAAAGACAGGTATTTTAGCGGATTATATAATTTTGTCATACCTCATCCAATAATTTTTCAATTTATGAACCAAAGATATCCTCGTGCTCAGTTCTCGCAGCAGTTTCATAGTGCATATTCTCCATTCAGTTTGAATTATTCATGGTTTATTTTTTCAAATACCCACCCAATTTTAGGAGTACAAAAACTTTCCAATGATAAAGTAAGTGTTTTGAGGACGGAGGCATGTGACATGGTCACATAGACAAGAGAATTTCCACGTTTCCAAGAATAGATAGAGGTGAGCGTGGTTTCCCAAAATACGAAAGTTAACAGTTGGCGCGGCCTTGAAGGTCGAAAGTCCGTCGATCAACCAGTGCGGTGGCGAGAAACTGACCTTGCACGATAGTAGGTTACTGACGGGCATTCATAGAATACGAGCACGGCCCCAGACCCATTAAGAAATAGCTTGCTTAATGCGTCAACCTTCTGGATAGGTGTGCACTGATTACATTGAAATTGGTGGCTATTTTAAACTCTTAGCAAAAAACTCAATTACGTTTTGAGGAAAATTCCCTATCGACACCAGAAAAGTGGTTTCATGGAAACTTAAAAACGCGACTAGAGAGGAACACTAGACTACTAGACAAGCCGAAGGCGAAAATCTGAAACTCAGATTGAACCACTGAAAAGGGTAATAAAAAATTATGTCATAAGACATGTTTTCTCCTAAAAATTTCGGGCCAAATATATTGGACATCGATACAATTTTTAAAATAGTCTCATGAGAGAGCATTTGGGTTCCCTAATATTCTACTTGCGATGAGGAAGGAAAGGGAGGGGAGGGGGTTGATCGACGTGGGTAAAATTGGCCATTGAAAGAAAAAGCAAGGACAAAAAAATTTCATTCGGCAACTAGTTAGGGTTGGATTTCACAGAAATCTCCTTCCTCTGATGTAGGTACTTTACGAGCGTTGACTTTCAAAGAAAATTCTTTGTCAGCGCGAAGAGAAAATAAATCCGTTGTAAAGCAGAAATAAATTTGTCCACTTTTATATTTAAGAGTAAGTTTTTGGCAAGCGGGAGCTTTGAAAAGCGCTAATTTTTCGACTATGGGCTGAATGAAAGTAGAAATTTAGCATGACAACTATATTTCATAGGAGATTTTGATGAGATAACTGGAATTTTGAGGGTGAATTTCTAAAGTGGTCCGGCGGTAGTAGAACTTGCATATTGCCGAGACGAAAATGATGGGTAAGGTTGCAAAATCGTATCCCCGTTGCAGGATCTATATGACTCACTGCCCACACATCTCTCTGTTGAAGATTTCTCCGAGAGAGGATCAAAGCAAATACAATAAAACACGTATAGGAATCGAACAAGTCACATCATGAGACTTTTTGCCGACTTTTAGTGATTACAATTTCATCCTAGAGCCTCCAGCGGTTATTCCAGCGTAAATATTAGTGATATTCACAGGGAGTTAGACAAGCTTTCGGCCAACGAGCCAACTGACCCACGTTTAGTGACGGCGGTTCCTATAGTTCCGCTAGAGAAAAGTAAAAAAAGTGCCCCCCTCATAACCACGACACAAAACATGGTGTGCACTAATGCAGCAGATGACGTCATCCACCGTCTTTTTCAACAGTCCGTACTAGCGATATGATTGCGGACCTTGAAACTTGGCATTTTTGATAGGTTTTAAACTATTGGGTGAATTTTCTGAAATTTTACGTTTTCCGCACTGTAAAATCATGAAGAACAACAAATTACATACATTTGCTTTAATCATAATGGATGAAACGTTGGCGGAGAATTTGAGACACTGCAATTAAGAAGTGGATGTATTTCTATCAAACGGAACTATGTGCATTAAGCCATGAGCTCTGAGACCCATAAGAATAACAGGGCTCACGTCATAATGCACATGGTTCCGTTCGATGGAAATACGTCCAAATGCCCTTTCTACACCCAGCGCTTCAAATAACTTCGGTCATCGAAGGGGATCCAGAGGTCCAGATTTTGGAGCGAATGCTAAAAACACGACTTCTTATGTTTGACAAGGCGAGGCTATCGATTGTCCTCTTCAGATTGGGTTCAAAGGCAGGGAGTTAGAATAGGGACATATATATATGAGAACCCATTTTTTTCTTTTCTTTTTTTTTTTCTCTACACAACGCCTAGCCGTTTATGCTTTGCTTTTTTATCAATCCATCTCATAGACTGATTTAGCGACTACGTCATTCGATATAATATCAAAATCTTGGTTCAATTGTGTTACTTTTTAAATTAGTCATTGAGCGGCCATTAATGAATTAAAGACTCATTAAAGACGAGAAATTAGGATTGTAAGAAAGACTTGGACGGATTTGACAAGATTCTGTGTTTGTTTTCATTCGAAGGGGGGGGGTGGATATTAGATGAAATTGATTGCATTTTGCAAAAAGGAACCACAAGCATTTCAAAGTCGCTAAGATTGCGCAACTTTTTTCACTTTGCAAGTAGAAACCGATCATCTAAACAGATCTCATCCTCACTCCCAATAAACTATAAATTCAAGACGAAAATTACTTCGGGAAATTAAATTTTTTTCATGGTTTCTGTAATTTTCTGCAAAGAATTCAAGTTGAGGAATCCTAGCAACATTGAAATGATCTTGGTTCCTTTTTGCAAAATGCAATGCAAATGAGGTAGCCACTGAATGAGTGTATTGTAAGAATTATTAGTTTTTTTTTTTTTTTTTTTTTTTTTTTTTTTTTTTTTTCTTTCCCTCTGCTGTTTAATGGCTTTGTGTCCAAGCACCTGCAGACATATTACTAGTTTGGTAGTTACCTTTCGGGCGTCTTTGTCATTTGGTATGGATGCTGGGCTGTTGGCGAGGGGTGCGGTGGGGTTGGGGGTGGTGGGGGCGGAGGCGGGGACGGGGGTGCTGTCCCAGTCGGAGGCCGGACTCGAGGTGATGAAGTACTGGCGCCGCTTCCGAAGGAGCCGCTCCAACATCTCCTCCTTCAGCTTTCGGAGCCGGAGTATGGAGTTCCACTCCAGCTCCTTGGCCCGCGCCAGTTCGCCCAGGGCCGAGATCTCCCTCTGCAGCTTGTCCGCGCTCTGGTTCATGTCTTCCAGGCTCCCTGCCGATTGTTCCAGGTACTCCCGCACCAGCTTCTCCCGGGCGTCCTCCTCCACGCCCACGCTGTCCTCCATCCGCTCCATCCTCTTCTTGTACTGCGGGGCTCCCAAGGCCGAGTCGCTGTCGCTCCCGTGGCTGCTTCCGCCTTTCTCCAGTCGCCGCTTCCTCTCCTTGAAGCGCTCGCACCCGGAGCCCGAGCCCGAGCCGGACCCGGTGTCCACTTCATTCACCTGAAACACGAGAACATAACAACTTAGTTTCAGGAAAGGCTTCAGAAGGGAGACAAATCACAAGAAAAACCCGTAACGTTTCGAAATAGTTACAATTCCATCATCAACCGGCAGGGTGTCTACTAGAACAGGCTGGTCAAAAATCAGTACTTTATCAGTGCTTTTTCAGTACATTCCCAAGAAATTCAGTACAGTCTCCTCGACACACAAATTCAGTACTTTTTCAATACCTTCAACTGAAGAAATTGGAAAAATTTCAAAAATTAGAATTTCCCGCTCAAATTGCGACAAAAATGAAAAAAATCCGGACTTTCTTGCAAAATTTCCGCACTTTTTCAGTCTTCCGGACCGCCCTTGAAAAATCAGTACTATTTCCGGACTTGCAGACACCCTGACCGAAAACAAAAATTCACTAAAAATGAGTCGCTGTTATTGCGAGACCGAGACTCAAAACCTGAAACACTAACAGCACACGTTCCGTTGGGTCTAACATCAATCCTGAAAGCTAGCTACTCGCTTAAATTGGTAAGCCGGCTTCACGCGCTAAAAATGGAGTCCAGGAGTCCTGAAAATGAGTCATCGGTGTCGCTGTTGAATTTTGACCCTCGAAACCCATTTTCCGATAGGTATTCTTCACTTTGTACAAAATATATTACGAATTTGTGCAAATTTACGATTGTTTACAATATTACGGGTAACTTTAAAACTCAGCCGGCATTTCATCAACGGAAGTGAAATGCTGGCTATTTAGCCCCTATCTCATCGATCGCTGAAAATTGCGTGTCGTGGCCCAGTTTTCAGGGCACCACTCAACGATGCATCGGTGACCTCCATTTTCAGCTCCCATTTCCAGCTCCCAGCTTCCTTGATAGCAAAAGGAGACGAAGATAAAGTGGAGCGATCCTATTGGTGGGAGCGGGGGGTTGCAATGGACAGAGCGTCGTTCCTCTAACGTGAGGGGGAGGGCGTACATCGATAATCACATGAGCCCCAAATGGCATAGATTTAGATGTAAAGCAGGTCTCATGTGGAAATTGAGGTACGTCCTTATATCAGAAAGGCGACGAGAGGAGGTATGAGTAATAGACTAACAAACAGAAACCCACGAGGGACCCTGTGGTTGGTCCATCATTTTCTTTCTTAGTCTACACCCCTTACAACCGATGGGATCGCTCCATTTGGAGGCACACTTAGGCTGCTTCCTTCGAAAATACCTATTTTATAAACCTCAAAATAAAGGCAAAAGTATGCGAAAACGAAAAGTAACATTCGAATCATTGAATCAATCATCAAGGAGGAGCGGATTTTAGTTGATTGACCGAGGAAACATTCATTCGTCAGAAAGAGTTGGAACATTTTTAGACAAGTCGAATATGACCTTGGTTTTTTTTTCATTCGCCGGATCCTCAAAAAATTCATTTTTTCGGAACCCCCTGATTTCGTGAAAAATTCATGCATGACAAGGAAAGACAGATGCCATTTCAAGGAAGCGCTAAAATGCTATTCCGCGAATCGCCATGTGAGACCCTTGCCTCTTTTCAAAACTAAGTATTTCTCTAACTTGGTAATCTTCCTCTTTTAGTATATTTCAAGCAAGCATACTACAAGTATACTACAACAAGTGGATTTGAGGAAAGAGTATGGTGTTCGTTCCTATAAGGGTGCCGGAGTGTTCCTCTTCTTGTTATCTATCCGAGGATACTTAAAAAGCGTGGGGGTGAGGCAATTTGGGAACCACTCGTTGGAAAAGCAAACACGGTTCCAATAGCTTAATCACGTTAGGGTCTATATTATGGTGCTCTGCTGGTTTTCTGAGATAAGAAATCTCACGGATGGTCAAAAATATCCCCTTGAAAAAACAAAATACAGACGTGCTCGTTCGTATCAGCAGCGGTTACGCGGGGAAATCTACATGGTCGACTTTCAAGATTTTTATAAAAGTAAACATTAGGATGAATCGGTGCGGTGCAACGGTTGAAACGAGGCTAAGGCTAGATTTTCCTTATTTGTGTTGGTGGAAGGTCAGACTTTTCCGCTTCAAACGTTTCGACGCCGATCTCTGCGAGACGCCGCACATTGGATCGAGTCAACGGGAGAGATCGGACAAAATTTGGAAACTTTAAACGCTTATAACTCCGTTTATACAAAACTTTGAGGTTTTAAAAGTGGTGTCAATAATTTTCTCGTGAAATTTTCTTCCAGAGACACCCCTTAAAATTCAAAATGTGACGAAATGGACGTCAAAATTTGCAGTTTTAGTCAAAAATTTCATGTCCGACCTCTCCAATTGACTCGATCCACTGTGCGTCGAGGGTAATCTCGGTCAACAAAAATAGTGCAGGAGAGGGAGCTATGGCCAGCGATAGCATCAAGAGCTGATTCCTCACTTATCGTTCGACACACTGAGACGACCAATCATGTCATTGTTCGGGCACGCGCTTGCAGAGGGCTGATTCAGTGTCTGGTACTTCTTTCTAAACTCGACCTTTGCACAGATGACTTGATTTTCAATGGTTTTAAAATTGGTCACATTCCGAGTTGAGTAGTCAGTGTGTATGCGTTTTTTCATTTTTCATTTTCCATTTTGTTTTTTCAATCAGCATTTATCTATAGACAAAAAAGTTCGATTCACAGATAGGAGGACTGGGTTGGTATTTTATTGTATTATCTGGATTACAAATTTCAGCTTGTAGAGAATATGCTGGTCATAAGTTGGAGATGAATATTTAATGCGTTAATTCAATACAAAGTCCCGGATAAATCATCAATCAGTCGATGGTCCCTCAAACACGAGAAATATATAACGATTGCGAAGAAACACTTGGAAGCATTATATGATCACCCCGGCATGAATAAATTGAGGTTATGTTTCTGTTTACGATGGCGTCATTGGATAGTGATGTGCATCGAATGGCACAATCACTAAATTAGTTTGATTGGACTACAATTTCCAAAAAGGAGGCTACTATTTCTAGCTGATCAATAAAAGCGCTCATCTGCGGGATGAAACTAATGGCAGATCCGTTGTTTCCAAAATGAGGCAGAACTATTAATGTTTAAGTGCAAAAGCTCAATTCTAAGTCAAACCCGCATTGAGCGTGAATTTAATAATATATTAATCTGAGCTCAAACGAAGAATTAATAAGATTGCTTTCAAACCAGTTTAAACGCTACTTAAAACCCGATGGTTCTCTTGAAAATAAGTAAAACGTCTGAATATCATAAGAGGAAGTGATTTAAATTCTGTGTACTATAACCCGTACCCTTTTAGGTTCAGGGACTTATTACTTCTTGTTCGATTCAAAGAACACCCGTAGCGTTTATAAAATATTTCTCAGAATTTCTCAGAACAAGGAGGCAAGCACAACGTGGCCACAGAAATTTCGAGCTGGAATTTCCTACTTCAGCGGGCTTCCCCGAAACCGCAGTTTGAGAAACTTCCCCGACATTATAGGAACGACACGGAATGATAAATAATTTTTTTAATATTTGATCCGGCCAGAAGACAAGCTAAAAGCTGTAACTATGACGCAACATCCGAAAATTTGCCCCTTGGGTAAACAAAGTTTTTCCTTGACTGTCTGGCGATTGCATTCTTATCCCTTAAAGTTTCTCACTTTTCCTTGACTGTGGTCACGCTGTATGCATGCTTTTTTGGGAAATGTTTGCATTATAACTGACATTTCACTGGAAAAAAAAAAAAAACACATTGGATCGAGAGTCCAGAATCTTAAAAACATCGACAAGAAAGAATACTCTTGATTCAATAAGATTTAAGCTTCAATCAAGAACCAAGCTTCTTAATTTGAGCGGATTTCCTTTTGATTCAAGCTTAAATCTGATTGAATCAAGAGTCCTTTTTCTTGCCATTGTTTTCAAGAGTCTGCACTCTAGATCCAATGTGTTTTTTTTTCCAGTGTTGGTGAGAGCGGGGACTTCAACAGACTACTTCAGGGTTAATAAGCAACTGTAGGCTCCATCGAACGGGCGGACGGGCGCGCATTTTACACGGGATCCAAAGGATCCACGGAAGGGTTTTGGAGGATCCCCCGCCGGAATCCAGGCCATCTGGTTTCTATTCCTAAAAAAGGAGATGTCATTTTTATGCGCTTTTTCGTAGAGTTATGGATCAAAACCCCCGTGTTACGGGAAAGAGTGCTAAGTGCACTCTTGGATTAGTCTCTAGACACACACAGGGATCGAGACAATTAGAGAGGTCGGACATGAAGTTTTTGACTAAAACGGCAAAGTTTCATGTTTCTCTTGTCGCATTTTAAATATTCAGAGATGCTTCAGGAAGCAAATTTTACGAGGAAACCAATGGAGCCACTCTTAAAACCTCGAAGTTTTGTATAAACGGAGTTATACGCGTTTAAAGTTTCCGAATTTTGTCCGACCTCTCCTATCGACGCGACCCATTGTGCGCCGTCCTAATTATAAAGACCGAAGGAGCACTCGAATCTTGCCGAATTTCCTCTCAGTGAATATTTTGGAAGAAAGTTATTGAAAGAAATAAGGGTCCGAGACATTTCCAGACTTTATACATCGAATTACGAAGGATATTCTCTGAAAAATTTGAAGGAAAGTATTCACAAATTTTCATAGGATAAGATTCATCCGATCATTCAGCACATGATTCATGATGTTGATGTTGTTGTTGATGTTTTCATTTGATTTTAGAGCACAATGATTTTACGAATGCGCCAAAAATACACAATGAATGAACCATGTAACATTAAGTGGTTCAGCCTTTATCAATAAACTTTTTAACTGAATAAGAGCATCGTTTAATCAGAAAATTGTTGAGGTTTTTGTCGACATTTTTTTCAATTCGCAACTTTTCACAGATTTTTAGGCGATTGATCGCACAATTTTATTCCTGCCTGCATAAATACATTATATTGACTTGAGAGCAATTTCAATTTTTTTTTTTTCCATGTATTATGATCGTGGATATTTCCACTTCTTTCTAGTGTGTTAATCTTCTTGACATGAAAATT